AATCCGAAGCTATTTATTCTTAACTGAACAGTAATTCCAACCAGGTACGGATTTGCGAAAAAACTTTGAAAGTTTTGTCGAGCTTTTTTTTAGTTTGATCAAATTTATTTTGTGAACTCTCCGAAACCACTATAAAGACCTAAAGTTGACCAAACTTTCTGCATCGGAGGCAAATTTTTGAAAAAAAGGCCAAAAAATTTGGACCAAAAAATCTAGTTCTTTAGGCGCGCGCTCCCCTTCTCAAAATTAGTATATTAATATATATTGGCGCCAAAATCGCCTTAGAAAAAATTAAGGGCCGGTCAGCCGAAAAAAAAAGTTTCTTAAAAAGTACAGGGGGTCGAATCCCTGAGGAGAAAAGGTGTCCGCCCCCCCTTCCCCCCTAAATCCGCTACTGATTCCAACGTAGAGTAAAATTGTTAAGGGAATTTTAAGTTTCAAATTTTCCTAAATTTAAAAGCTCTTTCAGTTAGTGGGTTTTTTGAGAGTTTGCCCACATTTAGTTAGATTGTAATTGCTGGGCTTAGTATCATTATTAGTAAGGTTTCTTTTAAGCAGGGGCACATTAGCGGTTCGCTGTGATGAGCTGCATAGCTCCTATGTTGGTCCTTTCCTTCGTGAATAAATGGTCTGAAAAGTTATCAAGCGTTTTTTTTCGCAGTTGAACTGAACGACAATTTTTTTCTTCACTGATTGTTATTTAAAAACTCATTTCTAGTTTTCAGCTTCTATTTAACAATATATTTCCTATAAAATAAAAACTAAGAGCTTCGCCTTCTGCAACTTTAGCAATCGCTGATAGTTAACACATTGAATCTTTAGAGTTTGCTTCTGATTTTTCTCATAAGATGGGTTAAAGTATACTCAGTAGTTCCAATGTTTTATCTAAACTCAATTTGAAAATCATGATATTGTTTTCTTCCTCAGTTTATGATACATTATAATATTTAATATGAGGATACAAAGTTTAAAATGCGACAGTAATCCAGCTGGAACAAAAATGATATCTTAGATTGGGATTCATGTCAAATTTTAGTTAAACGTAAGAACAACCTTAAATGTGACAGAGTAAGGTGCGAATTTTATTTCTGAAATCTCGTTAACAATAATTTTTTTTGGGTTTTCTTAATCCCTTTTATAAAAATTGTGGTTTCTGCGATTTGCAGAGGATCTTTCAAGGCTATCTAGCCCGTCTAAGCATAGTCCGTTTCTCTTATTTCCCCACACTCCAGACTGATTTCTTTGTCGAGCGACGCTCTTTTTTTGCGACTCAAGGCCGTCTTTTTGCGTCTAGAGCTTTCACGTGGTACCACTATTGCAGCCGTAATCGGTCAGGCTGTGGTAGACCTGAAGCTAGAGGTCAAGTGAGAGCTCGTCCTCACACACTATCATTGCCATAGCAGGGGATCGATTACACGATGTGACGATCTCATAGTGAACGCTTTACCACTATGCTAAGTGCCTCTTTTCATTTCACTATCAAATATATCAGCACACTTTTAACAACATTCCGCGTAAAATAACCCAATTTTACCCTCGTCTCCCACTTTTTCCCCCTTTTGACACCCTCCTTCCAAAAAAAGCCAAAAAACGTTTTAACGCATTTTTCGAATTTAGCACCCCTCTCATAACTTGCCCCCCCACCCCCCAACAAACTAATCCCCGCCACCCCGAACTTTCACTACCCCCCACTCCCCCCTCAAGAAGCAATCTCTCCAATTACCCCTTTCACACAAACAGTTGAGGGACGAATGGAGGCAGGGCGGGGCTGGTGTTTGGGGGTAAGTGGAATAGGTGGCGAGATGACTAAACGTGTGTAAAGGGTATAATAGTGGGGGAAGAGGTAGTAAGTGGAGGAAATTAGATTTTTAGGCACAACTTTGGGGTAGGTGGCAGAGGGACAAATAAAAAAAAATGATAGGAAAAAATGGTAGAAAAAACATAAGAACAAAACAAAACCACAAAGCTTACAATCCATGTAATTCTCAATTTAACGATCGCAATGTTCAAGTTTTGAAACTATTTGACCATTTTTTGCCTATGGTATTTATAAGCATTTTATGCTATGCGGGGTATTTGCTTATGGACTCAAAATAGTAGGTTGCTTGGCGTACAATTTTGAAACGTTTTATGGTCAGGCTCTGAGTTTCAAGGTCTGATTTATATTCAGCTACACCTAGGCCACGCAAGGTTAATACACTTGAAAGAATAATCCAACAAAAAAACTCAATTTTCAAAGATTGGATATTGACAAAAACTGTAGATGTTGTTTTATTTAAAGAAATCGAACATTGAAAAAAAAATTGCAACGAATTTTGATCCAACAAAATACGTTTTTTTCAGTACTCTAAATAATCAATTTGTCTAGACTGAGAAAAATCTGTGAGGGAAATAATATTGGTTTCGTACAAAGAACAAAAAAATTTAAAAATAAAATTAAAAAAAAAATTGAATTAAAGCTTTCAAAAAACTCTGAATTTGTTGCATATATTTTAAACTAAATTTCAAATGCGTTAGTCGAAATACATGCGCTACTAAGAAAAAAGACATATTCAGGATTCGGAGTTTCCGAGCCGTTTCATAATGTAAAAAGATTGCCTATATAAAAATCAGGGAGAAAACAGAGAACGCAAAATAAAGGCTGATCCTTTCTGCCGGTCATTGAAAAATATAAAAAAAATTATATAAAAAAATACTCAAACTAAGCCTCAGGATTTTGAAAAAAACAGGCCAGGTTGCAAAAACAAAGAAAAGCAGAATTGACGCCCTGATCCACGCTACAGAAGTTATAAAAAAAAACTCAGACAAGGCAGCTTCCAAATTTTTTGACACTTTTGATCTCAAAATTGTATCGAAGCGAAGCCCTGAATGTTCCAACTGCATTATACGGTCTGTGGAATAGTGTTAGTTTTTTTTTTAAAAAAATAGGTGACTTGAAAAAAGAGTTTTTTTTGTTGAGTTTTTCTTAAACTATTTCCATACCATGCTATTTAAAGTACAAAATGATACATTTCGCTTATAGGCCTACCCCAAAGACCATTAATAGAACCTCTGGGTACAAGTGTGATTGAGGGGACCCGCCAAAAACCAAGTGTGATAGAAGGTTTGCAATTCAAACAAATTTCAAGCAAATGTAGTAATTAACTTAACCAATATGCGGTCGTTTCAAAACTTTTTCTCAAGGGTAAATGACCTGCCTCATTCGCGCTAATTTGTTCCATACTCAAGTTGAAATTACCGGTTACGCAGCAGTATTTAGACAACCACGTATTCAGACTCCTCAGTATTTAGACATAAACTGAATTAACAAAGCAGAATAGAGAAAGCAAAAATAAAAATCACTCAAAAACAATAAAATTTAGGTCGGCAGAAAGTTAATACTTTGAGAAAAATCATTGTTTTCCCAAAACTTTGACAAATGACTGCAACTCCCAACCAATACATTTTCGATGACAAGTGACCCCCCAGATAAGTATTTTTTACGGGCGAATTGTTTTTTCGTCCAATAACTGATTTTTTCGTCATTTTTTCGGAGTTGGTTCGCCACGCGAAATTCTTCGTAATTGCATACGAGATTCGATTTCTTGCGCACTTAATTTTTTTAGCAAATTCCAAAAATTTGGCAGAACGACCCCAACTTCTTTGTTCTATCTCATTTTCTAATTTTCGCTTTTGTTGTTAGCTCTCATGGTATAATCCCTGTCAAAAACATTCCAAATAACGAGAAGGATGTAACCACTTATCCAAAATTCAGTAATGTACTGAAAAATTTTTTCAAGCTTTTGGTGTCGAGAAAAAATTTCCGATAAAACGTAATGATAATTTTTTTAGAAACAAACAATCAGCTCATCAACGGGTAAAAAAGCAAGCTGAATAGTCTACAAGCTATCAAGTGCAGGGTCGGATCGTTTTCTATATTCTTTCAAAAATTCGAGTTCCTGAAATTTTTGGAAAATACACTGGGTATAGTGAAACCAACATCCGAGATTGTTCGTCACAAAAAAACACTATTTTGATTGCCGGAATGATCCCAGTTTCAAAATCAGTCAAACAACTTAGGGCATTAACGGCCAATTTCAAAAAAAATTTGGCATTTTTTTTGTCAAATTTTTTGGTATGCTTTTTCATTTTTTCGCATGAGAAATGCCCAGACGACTGGTATTTTCCAACTTTCATTCGATCCATAAATTGTTTTCAGGGGAAAAACTGAATTTTTTTCAATTTTTTTTGGCAATATTTTCCTTAAAATTTGGTTCCGACACGCAATCTTCTGGGAGCAAGTGGGGGTGAGTTGCAGGTTAATTAATGATTTTCTTATTTGAAATTTCGAGAGTTAATCGGGACGAGCAACTATCGAAAACTAATTTAAAAGATTGAAAATTTTCTCTTTTTCGGTTTTTCTTAAATAAATAACCATCCAAAAGTAAGTTTTCCCCTCAAACGGGGCTTTCACGAAAGAAAACATTATTTTGCCATAATTTCTTGCCAACTTTCGGCCAATTGAGATATTAATTCGTTAGTTTTCAATTTCTTCTTGTTCCGAATTTCGATACGAAACTAACGGAAACTTTGTGCTCGGGTGGTTTTTTTTCATCAGACAAATTTCGACTTTTTAACTAGCGTTTTTTGACGGATTTTTTAAATATCATTCAGAAGATATTGTTCTCCTGAGCTTAAATTTGAGAAGATTTCTCACCTGTGACCATGTTTCCTAAAATTATGGGGGTTAAAAGATTGCCATTTTAATCCATTCTCAATCAGTTTACGTATCTAAATGGGCTTCGTAAATTGATTTCTTACAATTTTGTGTGAATAAAAAGGTATTGAAATTGATTTCAATTTTAAATTTGTCAGAGCGGGAAGGGACCCCGTTCGTTTCTTGGGACCACTCTATCATACTTGTACCAGAATCTTGTCTCTGAAATTTCCAGTTTATAATCATCGATGTTTTCGATTTTGATCGAAAAAAATTTTCTACATGTGATGTCTTTTGAACCTACCTGAAGATGGGGTTCTTGACAGACAACATTGCCAGTTTCGGTCAAATATATTGATCAAAGTTCGATGAAGCAAAAAGTTAAGGAACAGTAACAAAATAATACTAAAAGCTTCTACAGTTTACAAATTGAATCTAAATGACAGAAACAGTTTACTTCAGCGTTTTAATAATCTGGTAAAAACTATCTAACTAATTAACAAACTCGCAGTTTCTTTATTGTTTGCACGGTGATTTAAACCATCTAATTTGGCTTAAAGAAAAACCAATTTCTTGTTCAGTGGCATAAACTGATGAAAAGCTTAAAAGTCGGTCAGAAAAAACTGAATGGTTTTATATAACTTTGCTGAGATTAAACAGAGTAATTGAGTCTGCTCGCAAATTAGTTGAGCATGTGTAGAGCCCTTAGATTTGAAAGAGACAGAAACTGAACTGATGTTGAACAAACAAAACAGCATGGTCGCATAGATTACAGCTTAAAGTAAGAAAAAATTTTACAAGCAATTTTTAGAGCAATTATCATTGCTGGCCATTGCGTCTTCTAAAAAATCGGAAAAATACGACAATATGATGATATGATGTGTTCCTAAAGCATGTAGATGTTTTAGTCTCAAAATTTAAAAATTAAACACTTTGAATGCTCTCCTACTCGTTGTTTTTCTGGAAACCGAAATCAACTTTGGGGTTATTATTAATCCCCAGTAGCGTGGTCGCGGAGGCGCATTGCTCTAAAATACCACCATGCCTTTTTTACTGCCAAGTTCAAACAAGCGCAGTTGATGTCTCATGGCAAAGATGTCCAAGAAATAGGGTCCGTCCATAATTTTTTCCAATCTTTAAAAGCCATAAACAGTTGCCAGATTTGAGCAAAGATAGCTGGTTGCTGTGCATGTAGCACAAAATGTTACTACCGCATTCATAAAGAAACACAGACATTTTTTTTTAATTAGTGTCTTTTTTTTGTGTGGATGGTGTGATGAGAAAAGTATATAAACACGCATAAAAGTAGCGAGTTTTGCTACAGAAATTTTTTCAAAAAAAATATTTTCTATTTCTTTGCCGAATAATGTTTTAAATTTTCTTAGAAAACTTTAATTGCCAAGAAAGTGTAAAGTGAAGCTTTCACAATTTGTTTTTCGTTGTGTACAAACAAATTTTTAAGCTTAATCGACCCATATTAATCAATTTTTAAATAACGAACTTTAGTAGTTGCTCGATCGAAATCAGACTAAATCTCAAAATTGACAAGCTTTTGTAATGTTTCTTGAATCACGGCTTACCGGGCGCAACTATGATATATAATTCAACTCATTCCGTTGATTGTTTTTGGTACCTGATTTTTGCTGGAAAACAAAAAAATGATTAAAAAAACTGAAACTTATCTAAATACAAAGTTCTTCCCAATTTTCAATGGTCGGAACAATTATTCAAAAATGAGGCAATCATGACAAGCAAAACTTGACAAAAATTTGTGATCTCAGAATCCGCTGTTGACTTAAGTATTTTTTGGACGAAATTAAAAAAAAAAACTTTTTTGCAAGCAGGTTGTTACCACCTAAACTTTCGAAAAAATTTCATCGCCGAAATTTGCTGTTGTTACATTGAAAAATGGCAGTTTTACTTTTAAAACTAAATTATCAGTGTTTTGAAAAATATTTATGAATTAGTTAAACAATATATATAACAGGACCACTTACATCTTAATTCCTCAAAAACTGACGAAGTCTCGAACTCCTGTGAAAATTTTATCTATTTTTGATCCGAGCCTGAACTGGTAATTTCAGCGTTAATTTTTATTGATTAAAAGAACCAAAAATGACCCAATTTTTTGCGTAAAGTTTGAGAAAGATTAATTGAAGCAGATCACTTGTGGTACAATTCTATGTAACAATTAATTCCATCCTTTTAAGTCCATTTCAACTCAATTTGAGAAAAACGCGTTTGAAGTTTCCAATTTAATTGCGATACCTGAAATGACACGAAGGAGAAAATCACCCTAAGCTACAGTTGCTTCTTGATTGTTTTGTCTTCGGGATTGGCCATAACAATTGCAAGAACTCATATTGAGCTGAAATTGAAATATTTAGGTAGAGGTTAAAGATTTTTGTGCGGACCATTGAAAATGGAGAGGAGCTTTGTATTCGGGTGTCTTTTTGTTTTTTAATGTTTTTTTTTGCTTTTATTTTATCAGGCATAATCATCGGAAAACGTCGAGTGAAGTATCGATTATAGCCCTTTCAGTCATGATTCAAACTATTTTAAAAATTTCTAAAAAGATTTCCCAATTTTGAGAAAAAATAGGGTTAAAAATTTTTTTATAAGAAAATCATAAGGCTTAAAAATCATAAGGCATTATAAGAAAATCAGGCTTAAAAATTTTTTACCGCAAGCAAAGTTGATTTTGAAAGCTCAATTAGACACTTCCTAGATAACAAAAACTGTCAAAAAAATTCAAATAATTTGCAAATAATTAGAAAAAGATTTTATCATTTTATTTGAAGTATTTTTCATTTAACGCCAATCATTTGATTATACCTAAATCACTATTTTGATTCGCGTTCAAATAATTCTCTTGTCACACCACGCACTACACTACTTTGAAGAGAAAATTTTTTTAAAGAAGAGATAAATTTTTTGAAAAACAATTTTTTTCAAAGAATGAAAAGCAGGTTAAAATTTCTATTCAAGTCCTGGAAACTTAATTTTACTCCAGTTTTCTTAGCCTAATTTATTTTTGAGCTCATCTTGGATTAAAAATTCCTGAAAATTTTAAAGAAAAATGAAGAAAATTTTTTTCAATATGTCTATTTCACTATGAATATCGAATATGCTTATGCACTAGGTTTTCGCTTAAGATCATTTCATCAATCTTTTGAATAGTTTCTTATGAATGTGGTTGAAATAATCTGTGCTACTTACTTCGGCTACTTTTGTTTAAAATGGTATTGTTACCAATTCATGCACAAAAATTGCAATCCGTAACAAAAACCAAACAAGGCTCTATTAAGCAAGGCGACGCCCTGAACGTTCCGATTGCCGGTTAAAATCTGAGTATTCCGATAAATATACCTGAATATTCGGATCACATTTTCTGGAAAAAATTACCCACATGCTATTTACAGTACAAAAAGATTGATTGTTCCTTTTTTTGAAGAGAGCGAGGAATAATTAAGCTTGGGCCGTTTTTTAAGTCAATTTTCGAATTATAAACTGCGCGTTTTTGACAAATATTTGTTGTCCGGAGCTCAACTATAAATAAGTTTTGAATTGTTGTTTTTTGATTAAGTTATGGGGGTTCGAAACCTACTAAATTGGTCAACTTGAGACAATAAATGTGCGATGCATTGATTTCTTATAACACGCGCATGCGGCAGATGAAGTTGTTCGAAACGAAATTGAATGGATGCAAGTCACTATTCTTATTAATAAAATACGACTCACTACTAACATCTCTTCGTACTTTACATTATTCCAAAATAGCAAAACTGGTGGCTTTCAAACCCTCATAACTTTGCGAAAAAAGATCTCAAGGAAAAATATGAGCTTAGGAAAGCAATAGTTTTTAGATTGTAGAAAAAAAGTCGGTGACACAAGGCCAGTTAAATAAATTAAAAAAACACCCCAAGTAATTTTCTTTGAACATCAAAAAAACACTTTCTTCGAAAACCGAATAAAAAATTAATTAACCTAAAACTCTATACAATTATTCGAGAAATCTATATTCGGAGCAATTTAGAAAAGAAAAACAATTTAAGGCAGCAGAAATCATATCAGTCATAAAATTGACACATAGAGTTTGAGAAATTTTCAGAGTTGTTTCAAGAATTGAACACAGAGGCGAAGTTGCACTTCGCATACACAAGCAAAAATATGACCGATAACGCTACTGGGAAAAACTGAATGAGTAAGACTTTGAGTCTACTTAATTGCAAGGTTGCCATGATACCTTGTCATGAAATGGCCATGATACCTTGAAGACAGAGTGCTATTTGTATTACAATAATCTGTGTTAATTTCCTTAGAATTGGCTATAGTTAATAGCTGGTTATTGATCAAAATGAACACTTTCAAAGTGAACCAAGACTGCTCGTATCAGGGCGAAGCCCTGAATGTTCCGACTGCCTTTTAAGGTTTATAGAGCAGTAATAACATTAAAAAATTAAATGTAAGAAAAAATAAAATGAAAAAAAATTTTTTTCTAAAATTTGAAATTTTTTTTATGAAAATCATCCCCCCACACGCCATAAAAAGAACAGAAGCATAGATTTTGCTCCTTGTAACAAACCAATTATGGCGAATAAGCTTCTTTTAACCAATTTGGAACGATTTCTAAGACGGATTAACTCTCCGCTTACGCGTTAATAGCGCGAAATATATCGCGCGTTAATTGTCCCAAATTGGCCACAATGGCAATATTTAAACCCCCATAACTTTACGAAAAATGATCACAGGTGAAATATCTTTTCAAATTTGAGCTCAGGACAACAATAAGTTTTGAATGATATAAAAAAGTTCCGTCAAAAATGGCTAGTTAAAAAGTCGAAATTTGTCTGAAGAAAAAAAAACCCACCCCGAGCACAAATATTCCGTTACTTTCGTATCGAAAGTCGGAACAAAAATTTGTCGCAACAATATTTGCGACTTGCGTTGGAAAAAAAGAAAGTTCATACTATAACACAATCTTTGATTGTGTAAACATCTGTAATGTTTGAAATATTATTTTTTTTGCTTCGGAAAGATCTTAAGGACATCGCCCTGAAATCCCAAGAAAGATAATAATTCAAAGATAATGTATGACATTCCAAAAACGTTTTAAAAAGATGTTTTTTATAATTTATCAGAATATTATAATAAGAAAAAAGTGCGTAATATAAAAAAATATAGAAAGTGCCACTAACTTTGCATATTGGGAGGTGTTCTGCTGTCTGAACAACATGACTTCTTCTGGTGAAATTGGGTTGGGGTGGAGTGACCTCACACAGTTGACCACGCCCTCTTCTTCACTCCCACTGCCCCAGTACTCCCTGCCCCCCACTACCATCGAGTGGAACCCTCCAGTAGAAGCCGGTTTCTGGTAGTGATTCTGACTACTATGACTCATTCCAGTGTGAACAAATTGGTTTTCGGGAACTTGCTGGTACCTAGAACTCGGTTGACCTTGGGTAAAATTGGACTGTCTCGTGTCGAAGTTAGATT